TTGCTATTTGCGCATCGCAAGCTGCACGTCCACTGGTGTGCCATTTCTTAAATCGCATGAACTCCAGGAAATTATTAGCGGCTGGTAATTTCATCACAGCGGTTCCCAGTGTAAAATGTAAATGCAAATACAGACACCCACCAGACAGGTCAGATCGCTTGATCGATACTAACACCGAATGCCACCGTTTAGATCAGATCCTTCGCAGCATCCCTTTTTTCATTACCCGGGCATCACCCGGCAGACCAGCTAGGATATACCGTGGTGTTAACCTCAGGCCCCTGGATCGCGGGAACCCCCACTTCTCTGGACTCAGGCTTTACCCGGGAAGCGAACCACCTTTCATCCACGGGAATGCTTCCGCACCACTGGCGCGGATCAGCACCACAGCTATGTTTTCCCACAAATCTTGTAATTTTCCACCTGGCATGCGCACGCTGCGTTACATAAGTCCAATTTTATTGAACGCAGCCCCACGGACTCCTCACGCAGCGGACTGAACTCCTCCTTCCCCATGCTGGACTCCTCGCGCAACCAGAATGGACTCCTCTCGCAACCAGAAAAGACTCCTCACTCACAATACTGGACTTCCCACGCAACCAGACCGGATTCCTCACGCACCAGACTGGACTCATCATCTCACTATGCTGAACTCGTCACGCACCAGACTGGACTCCTCGCGCACCAGACTGCTACCGAACGGACAGCATCAGAGGCTGTCTCATATTCGCGGAGCTTTGCGCGCGGGTTGGCTCAAATTCCAGTTGGCGAGTCGCAATGCACGGATCCGTGGATTTCACAGGTTCTGAAGTATCTCGCTACTCGCATTTTACAACGATGTCAGCTGGGGCGCCAGCTAACCCTGACATTGCTGCTTGCGTTCTCCGGCAATGGGTTGCCTACTGTGAACGTTTAAGCTTCCCCGCAAATCAGTGGAAATGGGTGTCCTGTGACCCTTTTTAATCAGCACATTGTGGCTATGATCCATACCTGACACGCCTTCAGAGGGTCACAAACAGATGAGAAGGTAAAAACTGTTACACGTGCCGCTGCCATGCTTGTAAGTTCTGCCTCATTCTCCTAACGACGCACCTCGCACAACGCGCAGTGGCGTGCCTTCGCCAGGAGCCCCTAATCCTGATCCTCGACGAACCCATATGAACCCATATGGCAAACGCATGCCGATGGCATACCAATCTTCAAGGACTCAGTGTACGAGATCATATGAGTGGTACATGTTCCATGCAGTGGTAATAGTGTGTAGACGCCGATCATTTGGCGCGTGGCATGGCACCGTGCACCTGACGGTACCGGGTTTTGTATGTTTTCCTGCCATCCTGCGAACATTCCAACGGCAAGAAGTTTCTCGGCGCTAGGGTTGTTGATTTTTGTAACTGACTAGGGTCCGAGCCGAGGGCCCCACAACCTTTCTCCCCATTAAAAAAATGTATTTAGCACATTTTATGTTGACAAAATGCACTGAAGTTCATGGTATGAATACAAGTATATATATATATATATATATATATATATATATATATATATATATATAATATGATATGATACGATGATGCTGTGACATGAAATTATCTGATCGTCTTTAAATCAAGCAGCAAATTAATCATACAAGGGCGCATCCACAGGGGGGACGGGGAGACACGTGCGCTCTCAGATCAGAGAGTAAAAGCGCCC